GAAAGTCAGAAATGATCTCTGACCCATGTTTGGGGGGGGGGGGGAGGGGGAAAACAGGGGATAAGAAAGGCTTTGGTCTAAGAGCCACTGCCAGTCAGAAAAAAATAGAGCTCGGTGAAAAGCAGACTGACCTAATAGAAAGCAGCTCCCTATTACTGGAAAACAGTATACCGTCATAGGCAAGATTTGTGTATTTATTATGAACTACCCAATATCTTATTTAGAAGCTTTGCCCCAGAACAACTCAGGAAAAGGCTTTATCTGGTCCAGATCACTCCAATCCTACTTGATGTCTTCAGATCACTTTATCTGGTCCAGATACGCCAATCCTACTTGATGTCTACAGCCAGAGAGAGATTCAGAAAAATTAGCCTATAACCAAAATAATGTGATACTTTGTTGTCATTAATTATCACATTAGAGTAAAATTTGAGTGTAATCTAAATCTTTATAAGGTATCAAATTTCATAAAAATCAGGTCATGATTGAAATAAATGGTAAAACGAGGGTTCTCCCTCAAACTGTAAGATTTTTTTCAACCCTAAGACACTGTGACTAATAGCTGTCTATCACAAATCTTTGAATTCATCTTAATGAATAATTAAAGAGACAATACACAAGTGAAAAGTTGTGATTTGAAAGTCAGGTTGCAATCCAAATATCCACATTTATCTTGAAATTATCCTTATGGTATATAGCAGGACTTCTGAGTTAACATGACAGTATTTAAATTTTACTCAGGTTTATTTACTTATTTATTTATTTTGGTAGGGGGTAATTTGCTATAAATATTAAGGCACTGTAATCTTGTAATATTTATATTTTTAAATATTTTTATATAATGAATAGTTTTTTGTAGCTCTTTCTGTAATTTAACAACTTTTCAACTTTATGTTTACTAAGTATTAAAATATAACTTGTTATCTACATGTGACTGAAGGGTGCATGACACCTTTCAGCAATGCCATTATATACTGCAATTATTTTATGATTTATTAGAATATTTACTGAATAATTTATTATATCAGAACTTCATAAGTACATGTTTATCCTTAAAGCATTAGATAAGTTCCAGTTCTGCATAGAGCAATATCATTGAAGGAGGGGGGGCTGCATTGCTAGATCCCCTGATTGTTTGTAATTGGAGTGTGTGTGTGTGTGTGTGTGTGTGTGTGTGTGTGTGTGTGTTGCTTTTTTATTCATTATTGTTTTACCCTTTATATGTCTGTGGTTTGTTTTTACTATGTTGTACTTCACCCAGAGTGATAAGATTGGAGCAATTTACAAATATAGTAAATAAATAATCAGGGAAAAGCAAAGTGCTTGTTTAATTGTAGGTGGGGGCCTTCCAATAGCACACAGCCTGGCAACATGCCATTGCATTCTCTTAAGATTGTGCTGATTTCAAAAGGTATGCATATTTCATGCAGGAATATATTCGTAAAGTTGTATCTTTAAACAAAAAAGCTTTTGTAGGCTTCAACTGTGAGCTTGTGTTCCAGCTGACTTTTCTTTAATACAAATCAATTTTCAGGGTCAATTAAGGATAGGGGTTTGGAAAACTACTTGTAGCTAAACTACATATTCTAATCAAAGGAATTTTGCTTCGGTGTCTAAACAATCTAATAAAAAGGAAGTTTTTATTTATCTGTTGATATATGTGTTGCATAAAAGATACATACAATTTTCAATATCAGAGCAGCAGATGCTTTAATATTCATTATATACATCTCAAGTTTCCAACTTTTTAGAACTGATGGAAGTGATGCATTTATAATAGATTCCAGATGAAAAAAGAAAAACTTACATTAATGTCTCGTGTCCCCTGCTTTTACCCCATAGGTGGAACTGACAGGCAGCAGTGTGTTTGACTATGTCCATCCTGGTGACCACGTGGAGATGGCTGAGCAGCTGGGCATGAAACTTCCCCCAGGACGAGGCCTTCTCTCGCAGGGAACAGCCGAAGATGGAGCCAGCTCAGCTTCCTCATCTTCCCAGTCTGAGACCCCTGAGCCAGGTGGGAATTACAATCAGAATGAGTAGGTTGGTGGGCAGGACCTTAATCAAATAATTGAGCTCATGTTGCCGGTGTGAAAAGACGATGAATAGGTTTAATTGTATTTAACAATTCAGGGCAGCTTTCGGTTCTAAGCAGTAATTAAATAAGGAAGAGGTTTGGAAATAAAGAGACATTTTAATAAGTATAATAGCAAAGCTCTAATTTTGGTTGAACAATGCATACAGAAAGTACCAGTCAATGTAGATTCTCTTTCAAATTATTGAAAAGGCTCAGGTTTCGTATCTCATTTTCTTTTATTGTTGCAGGAATTAAAAGTAATGCATTTATTTATTATTCAGGAAAATCACTGAATAAGCTTTATGACTATGAGCTTGTGAAGAATGAAAAGTCTTGGGGACTTGTAGAGTTCTTAGTTCTTATTTTTTAACATCAGAAGGTACTTGAAAGATGTGAACAGATAAATTAAGGCTAAAAAGAAAACAGTAATGGCTACATTTTAAACTGCCTTTCCACCCTCAGTATTTAATTAGATCAATTGTATAGAGGAATGAACAGAGGTGACATTCCTCATTGGAATTCCTCCCAGGCCTCTTATAGACTTTGCATTCTGAATGTTCCCATTTTCATTGTGTTGTACTGATGATAATTTAAGTATTAGGGGAAAATCCATTTATAAATTAAACAAAATGACTTGATATCCATCAGTCCCCTAGTTCATCAAGCTGTTCAAACACGAGGAAGATTGGCTGGTCGGCCTGGGTCTTCCGAGAGCTCTGGTAATTAGATCTGCGAAGGATTTATTCTTTGCTGATTGGGGCTTTAAATTAATTGAAGTTCCACATTTGTGGTTTTGTCCTTTTTGTACTTTTTTAGAGGAGATATTTCATATTCTTGTGTGGTGGAGTGCTTGGCCAAGCAGCAGTAGTTTAAATGTTAATTTTTCTCATGAGAAGTTTAAGATTTTTAATGAAGTACAAAGGCTGATTTGAAGCCTTTTATTTGCTTACTTGGGAAATTATTTTTCTACTATTTAAATATGTTTGTACTGTACTTGATCTGTTGTTTTGAAGCAAGCTCATAAGACAAAAGTATTTTATTAGCGATCATTTTATAAAGAACAGTAAACTAAAGTGTCTATGTTGTATCAGAACAACCAGAAAAATAATAGCGTATTTTTAAATGGAAACCTTTCCAGATGAAAACTGGAAATTTTTGGAGCAGGGGGATTATACAAACAATAATTATGAGGATATAAGGACAGTTTAAAAACAAATTTGTTTGAGGGGTCCCTGGTGCTCTCTGAGCTTGGTTGTTTTCTTGCAGACGTTTCATTACCAAATTAGGTAACATCATCAGTGCTAGACTGATGATGTTACCTAGTTTGGGTAATGAAATGTCTGCAAGAAAACAAGAAACTCAGAGAGAACCAAGGATTCCTCATTTCAACTCTAAACTACAAATATTCTGCTTTATTGATACAAATTTGTTTTTCAGTCATGTGCATGTATCCTCAGAAGCAAGCCTGCTGAACTCATTGATGCTGACTTTCAAGTAATTGGTATAAGATTTTAACCACAGGAAGTATTTAAGATGCTAAACCTTTAATTTGCCAAGCTATATGGAAGAAAATACAGTAGATTATTCTTGGCTGTTGTGATTTTTTTAACATTCTCTTTTTTCCTTGTGATTTTCCTCTGAAAAACAAGATAGCAATAGCAATAGCAATAACAGTTAGACTTATATACCGCTTCATAGGGCTTTCAGCCCTCTCTAAGCGGTTTACAAAGTCAGCATATTGCCCCCAACAACAATCCGGGTCCTCATTTTACCCACCTCAGAAGGATGGAAGGCTGAGTCAACCCTGAGCCGGTGAGATTTGAACNATTCCCTCCCCACTCCAGGGGAAGGTTACTGCAAAATCCCAATTTGCTCCCAATTAACTGGGACTCAGGAGGCAGAGAATAGGTGGGGATGGTATTTACCGGTTCTCCAAACTACTCAAAATTTCCGCTACCGGTTCTCCAGAACTGGTCAGAACCTACTGAATACCACCTCTGATTCACTGTCACTTTCTAATCACATAATTTGTACTGTACGTGATTCCATTCACATTTAATCTTCTGCTAGTTAGATAAAGTGGACTTTTCCCTGACAAGAACGTAATGTATATAGCAACATAGGTAAAAAGAAAAGTCTTGATGAAGAAATAAACCACTTTCAGAAGCAAATAAGCCTAACATCAAATCTGAAGACAGATGCTTTCTTTCACACTTTGTTTCTGGCTTCACCCTTATATCATTTCCCTTTACTATATGCTATACAACTGATCCTTTTGCACATGTGGGCAGAGTTGTTTCCAAACTCTTTTAAAAGTTTCTCTATCTTAACAAACCAAACCAAGAGGTGTAGAAAAAAGGAAAGCTACTTCAAAAACATGCCTGGAAGTGTTTAACAGCATATAGATGTTAGAATAATAATGAATTAATACCAGACCATTGTGCCAAACCCCATTTATTCAAGTGCATTCCTTATTTCATAACCTTGCTTTTCCCTTAGCAACGTGTCTTCCTTCTACTAAATAAAAGCAATTCAATAGAAAGAATGATGAATAAAAAGCATGTTATTTAACTCATTCAAGCCTAAAATAAAATACAGTGTCAAGTAAAAATTGCCTTTACTACCTGTAAATTAGGAATTGGATTTTAAATTAAAAGCCCTCAATTGCATTTTAAGCATATTTCAGTTGCAGACAATCTTATAAAATAAACAGTTTCAGTAAGTCGTCACTTGAAATTGACATGCTTATTTTTAGAAAAGTTAGCATGTAAAGAGATTGTTTTATTTTACCGCTAAATATACTTTTTACAGGATTATTCTTCACTGACATTTCCTTCATTGAATATGATAACAAAGCATAAATCAGGGTCACAAATTCATTCCTGCCCCTTGGGAAGAAGGGATTATATGTCAATAATCCTGTTAATAGTAAGCATGGCCGCTAAGCATTTCACACTGCAGTAGTTTGGTAAACTGAATTTGAGAAATTGAGATATCAAATGAAATTAATAAAATGACTATTTTTATATTTCTTTATAATTATTGTTTGTTTGAAATTAGTGATCATTAAAAAGGCATACTTGCCTTGCCCGGAAATGTATTGGAGCAGTTCAGTAAATTATTTGATTGTTTCTGGCCATTGTTTTTTCCTCAAAATTCCTTCCTTTAAATATTGCAATGGTCAACTGGCTATCCTAACTCTGTATTATTAACACTGATCAGCTATGAAGCCTATTGCCATACTGGTTGCAGTACAAAGTTATATGCCATACAGATTTGCAACAAATCAAAACCATATTTCCATGCCCTTTGAGTCATCAAAGTACTTAGTCCATAAATGACTTTTAATCTGGAGACTATTCTGGAGATTATCACAAATCACATATGTATTTGAACTTTTTTAATCCCATGGTACTATTCAGATTTGCATGCTGGTTTATAATATTCTTAAACAAGGTAATATTACAAAGTATAAATCACAGCAAGCAAAATTTTGACAAACAATAAAAAGAAAATGTGTAAGAATGATAATAATGTTTTCTATGGCAATTAAGTATGCATCAGATGGCCTTTGGGGCAGTATGTTATGGGCATCCCAATCAAATGATGGCCGTGTTGGCTGGATCTAATAACAAGACCCATGGACCAGAAAACAAGCAAAGTGCCAAGCTGCAGACACTACGACTGCATTTCATTTTTAGAAAATGCCTTGGGGACTCTGTGGAGTCAAGAGGAATTGTTGAAAATATGCTTTATGCTCAAAGCTTTTGTTTTGCTAAACATTAGATTCCAGTTCCTTTTGCTGGTAATAGCCTTTTCCTCCAGATGTAGATTCTTATTAAAAAAAATACTGCATTATAATTTGTTTTTTTCTTCACATTGAAATGTCTGGTCACTTGATTTGCTGTTCCTCAGATTTAGCCAGACCTGTTGCGCATGGAAGACTTTAGCCTAATTTTAATGAATGGAAGCCCAGAAATCTGCTATAAAAATTTGTCCTGAACATGATCAATATACTCAAGATCTGATTATATAAAGAGTCAAGCCATTTGTGCAGAATCTCTATCAGTATATGTCAGGGGTGTCAAACTCACGGCCAGCGGACCTGATGTATCTCACACTGGCCACGCCTACACCCAGTTTAACGAAGGAGGAAAAAGTTATGACATACCATGTGACGCCCCTGTGATGACATGAGTTTGACATCCCAGGTATATGTCATTAATAATATATTCCCAATCAAAGATGCTGTAATATGCTGTGGTGTGCTAGAGGCAGTTTACAAGATGTGATTATTAAATTTTGTGGAGATTTGCAAGCCAGTTGAGGAGAGCTGAGGTGCGATATTTAGTATGCTGATTGACTGGTGGCTTGCAGCAAGGAACAGCAGGGACTATGGAGACAGCAGAGTGAGTTGTTATACACTTGCCAGCACACCACTGGCAATACTGTCGATATCCCTCATTGTCTGTTGCAAAGCAAGGTTGAGGAGCAATCAACTGTCTGTACTCTGGTAATATGTGCTATGTATATTTAATTGGATGCCTTTATTGTTTTTATTGCTTTAAAATGCTATTAGTATTTAAATTGTAATATATTTTCTTCAATTGTAAGAGTCGTCTGAGATGAGCAGCTATAGAAAAGGAAGGAAGGAAGGAAGGAAGGAAGGAAGGAAGGAAGGAAGGAAGGAAGGAAGGAAGGAAGGAAGGAAGGAATATAAATTCTTTATAATATACAATAAAATATTGTTTATAATATACAATAAAAGACATGTGTTACATGTTTCTGAAGTTTATTCTGAATTTTCAGTTAGGGCAGAATACCAAAATCAGAATAGTTTTGATTGGCATTTGATCGGTGGCTATTTGATATGGCCTGCTTATTTGCCTTTAAAATCTTTACTCTAAGGAGTAAATGAGCTTTGGTGTCCTTTAATGAAT